CTTAAACTAGTTTCTACTATGCTATCAGACTCCTTAACTTTTGCAATTGATTTTTACAATAATTTGCTACATTTTTTTGCATTAAAGTTCCCTTTTAATCCTTTCAGCTTCTGTTCCCATCACTCATTATCCTATCAAACTTTCTTAGATTTGTTTTCAAATGACAATTGATGAAAATCCAACTGTATTTTTCACTTTTTTACTGATGTTCCCTTATACTACATATAGCAATCTCAAATGCCTACAAGGCTGAGTTTCTGATTTGTACTTTGATGGAAAATGCCTCCCCGGCCTCCTGTTAAGAGTTTCTTAACATGAAATAGAGTTTATGCCTCCTCTATCTTAAAAAGAACTTTGCTAAACTTCAGAATTGTCCAAATTATGTAAACTTTTAACTTCAAGTATACAATTGTTTCATAACATTGAACCTTTTCAAAATAATGCCCAGAATTATGACGAACATACCACATAGATATAAGATAAAGGAAATTGTGTAAGGGGTATATGAGAATTTTCTCTATTACCTTTGTCACTGTCCCATGAATCTAAAATGATTCTAAAATTACGTATTTATTTACATTTGAAAACATATCCTCAAGACTCTTATGTGAACTCTACCCTATTCAACTCTATCCCATTCAAACCCTGCTCCAATTGAGAATCAGTGATACATATCTTGCAAAAAGTAGCGTCCAAGTTCTCTGATGCATTTCTAGAGCAATTCTTCCTGAGATAACAGTGGTTATGTCAAGCACTGATCAGGCAGACCTGGCATCAATATCTGGGTCTACTATGAACCATCTTATCTTTAAATTTGAGGTGATTAGTTAATCTTGCTGCAGCTTGTTACTGGATCATCAAAGGAAAATAATGATACTAAGAATAAAATAAGGTAAGATACATAAAGTCCTTAATATAATGTTTGACACATAGCAAAATAATAATTAATGTTATCAAGCTGGGAGATGTAACTAAATGGTACAGAGTGAGTCCCTAGGTCCAATCTTTAGCACTACAATAAAACAAAACAATATTAGCATCCATAATGTCTTATCTTGAAGTTAAAACTTCAGGTTAACTATATTCTGATCGGACCCGCACTTTCTGATCTTGTCTACACGCATATCATTGCTGACTTTGAAGAATCAAGATATAAAGGGTTTTTTTCCCTTCTCAGATGGGACAAGGTAAAAGGATTCGAATCAAACAGGTCTGAGAAGAAAGCTGTGGTTATGATAAAAAAACACAAGAGAAAATAGTGCTTCTCTAGTTTGTCACGTCCAGGGCCTTTGGTGAGTTATTTAGCACCTGAGAATTTTGTCATCTGTAAAATAATGACAAAATAATAGCAGCCACAGTTGCTCAGAGTGTCCTGGGGAAGATCTTGTGAAATAATATAAGTATATAAAATCTCTTTGAAATATTGACATCATTAACATATTTAACATGGGCTATATCTAAAGATTACTGCTGTTTGTTATCAACGGACCTTTATATTTTCCAGCTGATCACAAGCAATAGGATAAAATATTTAATAGAATTTTGGTGATCACTGAAATCTTATAATTCTAGATTTGTTGTAATTTATGATCTTTTCCTTTAAAAAAAGTATCACAGATTGTGTCCAGCTCTAGTTTCATGGGGCTTTCTAGTATTCCAGTAAACCTCAATTAGACTATATATTTGTAGCTTTTCTCTGTTTCAGGATGTATAATTGAACAAATTTGGCATCTACACATGTTCAGAAGTTATAATCTTCTTTGGCTTATGTTCTTATTAGAGTTATGTTTGTTTTTTTTTTCCTGGGTGATGCAGAGAAATAGTATCCCTGTGGGACATGGTAGACATAAATATGATGCAAGCTTAGACCACAAATAATTGAAAAGGAAGAGAACAATATAAACTTTTTAGGGATATCCAAAAAGTTAAATATCATTTTGATAACAATAGGTAGTATTTATTGAGTCTACATTCTGTGCCATTATACAGTTGTTTATGCATATTACTCAGGTAAGCTGTAATAAGTAGTATTCACTAAAATTATTTGCTATCAATTTGTAAAATTTTAATTTTGAGAGCTTCACTATCCTTTCATTAACTCTTCTTCTCTGGATCACCTTTTTTCCTTTTTGTGGTCCTATACTGTATTTGAAACCTGAAGATCTAAATTCTATCTGCAGTTCAGCTTTTTCTTTCTGAAAAAAAAAACTGAAAAATTCTCATTTTTCTCACTGCGTTTCTTAAACTTGCTTTCCATCAGCAGTTTTCCTATTGAGATTTTTGACAAGTGACAGTGATCTGAGCCACACTGTATTTAAATTATTTTCAATTTTACTTAAAATTAGCTGTAGAACTTTTTACTAAATATTAAGATACAAGATTATAGTGAGGCAACATGATAAGCATAATCTTTAAAAAGATACATAAATATAAAAGTAAAATGTATATTTTTGTCTAAAAGAAAACAGAATAATTTAAAAGAGAATCTCAAAGAGCATTGGGAAAAAGCACAGACTAGCCTCTCACAACAGATGATTTAAAAAAATTACTTAAACAGGCTATGGCATTCTAACTTCCCCTTCTCAACAATGCTTTATAAAGTATGTTGACATGCAACATCTCTGATACAAGTACAATCTCCTTTATTGTACTAACGTCAAAATACTCTTTCTTGGTTAAAAATGCAGCATTCATTTCATTATGGAATGTTTTTTCTTAAGATAAAAGTTCAAGATACACTTTAAATAAAAATTATATTTTAAATACATAGAATGTTTCCTTAAGGTGACAAAAAGGGTAAATGCACACACTCATACCATGTGATGACTATAAATATTTAGTCGTTTCATCTTGCCTTTGTGCTTACAGTTTATGCTGTTTGGAGATAGGAAAACACTGCTATTGAGCTACAGCTAATTGCAGAAGTTGCCTGTTATGTAACTGATTAAAAATTTTGTTTTGATTTGATTAAACATCTCACATGAAATAAAAAGAAATACACACTTTTCCACAAGATGGTCAGCCTCATCACTTTATTTATTTGTTTATTTATTTATTATTTTTTGGTACTGGGGATTGAACTCCGGTCCTTGCACTTGCAAGGCAGGCCACCAAACCACTGAGCTAGATCCCGGGCCCCATGCCTCATCATTTTATATCCTCATAAAAAACAACACTGGCCTCTGCTGGTGACTGAGGTCATGATGAGTCTTGTTGGCTGCTGAAGGCACTGCCTCCGCAGGTGGATCTCAACTCACTTGGGACTTTTGTTGTTGTTACTCATTGGTTGATGACAGGACGCTATAAATTTAAGAATGCCCCAAGAATGAAAACCCCTAGGTTCAGCTTATGCATTTCAATGAACTCAAATTCTTGGCCTATAATTTGCCATTTCTTCAGGTCAAGTAAATTCAAACATTCTTTAATATCACACTTTAAAAGCAATTTTTTCTTTCAATGACAAGGAGTTGCTAGTAAAGAGTCAATTAATTTCAAATAAATTCAAGTAATAATTATGTACAAAATAAAACACATATTCCTTGAAGTTTATTTGCATTGTTTCTCAGTATGCATCATTTTATTCATAAAGTACAACAGAAATTCTGTGCCTCTGTGGAGAATGCCATTTATATCTTCATAGAAACTACTAAAATATATATCAAAGTAAAGCAACTACCTAAAATTTGTGACAAATTTTGTGTATTTGCTCCCTGAAAATCTTGCAAAGAAAAATAAAATAATGTTTGTATTTAACACTGTTAAGATTATTTTTTTCAAGCAAATACAATATTCCTTTGCTAATACATATGACACCAAACCACATGGTGACATATTTTTCCTAGCCTTGGCCAGTATGGGTAACACTTTCTGCTACTGCCTCTTTTTTGGTTTTAGCCTCATCAGTGGGAAAAACCTCTACAACAATGGGTTCCTTCTCAATTCCAAAGAGTGGTCAACCATAACCAAGACCAGGAAAGCCTGGGCTCTCAAATGCTGCCATCAAAGCACCTAGAATGTATTGAAAAGACAAGAAAATGAGGCCATCACAGGGTAAAATATTAGCCTAGATTGTCAAGGAGGGAGCTAAAAGATATATAAGCATTTTTTTTCTGCATTTGTCCAAAGGAACTAGGAATACTGTATCCTAAAAAGTACTACAGGATGAAATGTAAATATGGAGGGAAGAGAGACAAACTCATTGATGTAGGGTACATAATGAAAAGTCTTCTAAAAACCAGTAAAGGTGAATGCAATCTGCCGTGATCAGGAGCTCATGTTACAGACATACAGGCCAGTGTAGAAATTTTTAAAAAGCTTGGTCCTTTTAACCTAAAAATATTTGAAACAGTGAATTTAATATCTCATGAGGTAAGGCATACTTTATAAAATACCAATATTCTACATGGAGCAGTTTGCCATTGGTCTTTTTTCTCCCTTTCTACTTTCCTTCTTCCTTTAATTCTTAAGTGCATTCAACTCATGAATTTCCAATGGAAAGAATTTTTACTACATTTTTGAGAACCATATACTCTAAGTTATATAAAACATACTAATCTCTGCCTAAAAATACAGACAGCATTTAAAGGAAGAATGAATACATTCTGCCTTTCAGAACACAAGTTGCCTCTCTGAAATACTTTGCTTTTGCCTCAAATCCTTTGCTTGTCAAGACAGTGCAGCAATGTTTGGAAAGCATTAGCACACCAACAGATGCTCAGAATCAAATGACTTAATAGGCATAAACTATTTTTTTTAAATAATTGCAAAGCTTTGGTTTAGCCTTTTGCATACCTTGCATAGTTAATTACCTAGGCCTTAATGTTTACATGCAATGAGAGTATCTACAGCTATAAACTACATAATTTATAATTGATGTAAATGGGTGTTATTATGTCAATTAGGCAGCTGTGTCCTCCACCTCTTGGTAAACAGCTATGAGTGATAAACTGAGTTTGCAGAGATGTACCTTCTTTTCTTCACAACAGATAAAAATAAATTACCTAGGCAGACCAGGCTGTCCAATTGTTCTCTGGTGAGGTGGATGAAAATTCCAGACCCTTTCTTTTGACCTGTTGACTGCAGCAAATGGTCAATTTCGTCATGCAGTGCGTCCGCAGCTTCTGGGTGCCGGAGAACATAATACATTGCCCAGAACATAACTGGAATAGTATTTGCGATAGAGGCCCAGAGAAGGGCAAAATGATGTGCTGGGAGAAAATAAGTGAAAAGGAAGATTAATAGCGTTTATTACACTGATTAGATTTGCAGTGTGCTAATTAAAAGATGTTAGGACACAGACCCAGCCAAGGATCAGTGCATGCTAATGAGAACCAATAGGCTTCTGAAGTCTAATTTTCTGCTTAATGAGAATAGTTTAAAATGTAATGTGTATGGGGGGGCAGGAAAGTGGGGGATGAGATAAGAGGAGTAATGCTGCTTAGTTATACTCTTTCTCATTATCATCATTAAGTATCTTGTTTTACCACCTCAGCAAAAAAAAAAAAAAATCAATTATCAGAGAGGTTTTTTTTTAGAGTAAAACATTTTATCATTAGCCAATTAGAAAGAGCATAAAAAATTTCAAGGTCGCCATTTTGTCTTTTTATTTCAAAGGTCTACTGTAAATTATTTTATTTTAGGCAAGTAATAATTCAGCAGTTTCTTACCTCCTATGTTAAGGTCCTTGAGCCCATAGTATTTCTCCAGAATTTCTTGCCTCCTTTGAACAACTTTTGATGTTCCTGGTATCTTAGCTAATTTTTCTGGTGTCATGCATTTTATAAGTTTCTCCCGCATAGATTTGACGTCTCGTAGAAGTTCAATGGGTATGTCAGACACTAAGTACGGGAATTTGTCATCAAATTTTAAAATATTATCTCTTAGCTCACTGATAAATGCTTTTCTTTCACCAGTAGGAACGTTTCCATATATTGTTGTAAATGTGGTTTCAAATACTACTGAGCAGCAAAACGTTAACATTTGTTCTGTGTTCCATTTTGTGGATTTTAATAGCACCTCAAATGTTTGTTTTATATTTTGTAACATGTCTTCCAGGATTATGTCCAATGATTTGCCTTGCAAAAATTGATAGGAGCTGTGAAGTTCATGGTTTAGGTCCTCAGAGTTTTCCAGAATCTTGATGGAGAATACTTTCACTGAAAATTTTTCAGTAATTTTTTTAAAAGTTAATTTTTTGTGATATTTAGTCAATAACTGATACTGGAAAGGGTCCAGAATAAATGTTATGTACTTGCCTAAAAAAACAGAAAGAATATGAGTTTATTTGGTAGCAGAGCAAACAAACATATATATATATATATATATGTTAAATTTGCACTTTTTTGAGACAAAGTTTTCCTGTAAGGTCTAGGCAGACCTTGAACTCTCATCCTCCTGCCTCAGCCTCCCAAGTATGTACCATCAAACTTCACTGAAAATATTTTAATTAAATTTAGACTTCATTAACTAAGACACAAAGTTTAATAAAAATCCATTTCATTCAAAGGTATATTGCATGTTTCATTTGAAAATAGAAGATGGTGTAAAAAGCTCTAGAAGCTTGAAGTTAAATATCCTGAAGTTCTAAATGACCTTCTTAATATGATAATTTATACTCCCAATGTCGATTTTTACCAAATGATTTAAATACTTTAATATTCCTTAAATATTCTCATAATGTCTTTATTTAAACATTTCTCATTTTCTCCCAGAAAACAATAAAACACATTGGTAAGATGCCATGCCATTGCTCCTCATTTATATTTAATAACAAGCTTTTATGTATTTGATATCATCTTAGCACTGGTCAAATATAGTAACTTTAACTCAAATAAATGACAATGCCCTTACAAATAAGTAAACATCCAGTTCACAAATAAGCATCTAATTCAAAACTACAAAAATAAAATCACCAGTGCCAGTATTTCATTTTTATGGATGAGAAAATAGTGGTTCAAGGAGATTTAGGAAGATGTTCAAGGTCACACACTGAATTGTAACTTACATGGGATTTTAATCTAGAACCCATTAGTTCATCCATCCATTTAATGAACAATAACTGAAATTCATACATTTGGTTGATTTTTTTTCTTTAGATATGAAGATGAAAAAAAATCATTGGATCATGACAGAGCCACAGCATAGGTGAAAGAAAATAGAAGGCAGGCAGGCAGAAGTGGAACTGGCTTTAGCCTGCCTGGAGTTGTCAGAAAGGATTCCTAGAGGTGATGAGTTTTGTCTTTTCTATCTACTGTTGTTGCCAAAACATGGATACTTGTTGAAAGTACAAATTTCGTGAAAATTCTGATTCATAATGCCTGAAGGTGAAGCTTTCCAGTCTATTATTGACAAGATCCTCAAGTGAGTCTTTTCAGGAGGCACCCTTGAGGACCACAATTATACTGTGCATCTCTCAGACAAGATCAGGTGCATTCAGGGTGGTATGGCCATAGACGATATGTCTGTCTCTCAGAACCGACAAGGACCTTAGAGAGTTCTAAGCTCAACACAGGCTTTTACCAGTTAAGAAAGCTTAGAAAAGTGGATAGAGAAAAACCAAGACCAAATCTGGACAAGAAGTTTCTCCTCACACACTATGATTTTCTTCACACATTGCTGATTTCTTCTCACTAGAGTGCTGTTTTAATTCATTGTAACTAGAAATGTTATGCATACCGACAAGGACCTTAGAGAGTTCTAAGCTCAACACAGGCTTTTACCAGTTAAGAAAGCTTAGAAAAGTGGATAGAGAAAAACCAAGACCAAATCTGGACAAGAAGTTTCTCCTCACACACTATGATTTTCTTCACACATTGCTGATTTCTTCTCACTAGAGTGCTGTTTTAATTCATTGTAACTAGAAATGTTATGCATATAGTACCCAATACTGGCATTTAATAAATCTTTCCTTTTCAAAGGAACATGGAAAGTTTAAATGATCCTAAAAACTGTCTCTTTTTTGTTAGAGAATATTTTATTTGTTATATATGGTAACTCAAATGGCATCACAAAAATTCAATTTACTATGATTTATTTAGGATAAAGTTTTGAATAACTTTCAACCTACTCCTAGAAATAGGATAAATTTTTTTTTTACTTTAGATCTTTAAATATTGTTAAAGTTTTTAATGTGCATATATCATGGTTTATTTTTCAAAAGGAATCATATGACTTGAATTTTATTCACTCCCTTTTCCCTCGATTCATTTAATTATGTGAACCAATCTAGGAATGATGATATGGCTGAAAGGGCTACTCATTCAGAACCAAAAGATGTCTTCTACAAAGTAAACTGCATATCTATCTATCCATCCATCCTGGGGAAAACAAAATGGACTCAAATGGATTTGGACATACTCTACCATATATATACCTGCTTTACCATCACAGGTTAATTAAATCAAATTGGCAGCATCTGGTTGACAAATCATTTAGGAAAAGAGGTCAATTCTCTTATTATTTTTCAGAAGATATAATTTTAGGTAGAACTGTGTATTTTCACAGGTGATGAGTCATACTTTTCTCTTTTCATTAAATGAAAGGATTTTGCTAAATATTTCTAGAGTTATTTTAAATGGTTCCCTAAACCCCGGAGCATTAAAAAAAAACATTTAACTGTAAAACATACAATCTTTCCAGAATATTTTGAAACTTTTCCTACCAGTTTCTATTTAATTAAATCTAAGTGGGAAGACACAATTCTATGCAAACTGGACAGCACCTGCTACTTGTTCTTGTGCTCTTGAAATAGAGGATGGACGTATGTTAGCTTTTGTTTTCTCTATAATTCAAAAGACATATATATTCTTTGCCTCTACTCTCTCCCCTTTCCCTCCCTTTAGCATATAGGAAATGTGAAGTTCATTTCAAAGAAAAGAAATTGAATGTTTCAGGTTTACCAACGAGTTATTAATATATTTCTTAGAAGTAGTTGTTTTCCTGCATTTTTTGAAAGATCATAATTAATTTTGAGCTATTTACAAATAAAATTCTCAATTCTTCTCAAACTCTTTTCACTTTAGGATTTGTATTTTTTTTCTTTCTTGTTCTTATTTTAATTTTCTTCAGCAACAAGACTTTGCATTCTACCTTCCATCTTTCTGACTGAGGTGTGGATTGCTTTAGGAGTGCATGTTTTGATTTTCCAGATTTTACTTTTCAAGTGGGTTTGGAAGTACTAATAACCCTGGAGATGTTAGTTGGCTTTCCAACTTTTAATCTTCAGTATAAACAATTTAAGCTAAGTTTTCCAAAATTAATATTAATTTAAACCATCTGTCCACCATCTGCTAATGTGAGATGCAAAATCAGAGTTTCTTTGTGATCTTAATCAGACAGTTAGGAAAACACATATACATTCATAAAAAGAATTTAAATTTTCTAACAAAGGAAATCTGAAAAGTTATGTTAGAGGCCATGTATTCTTGGAGTAAAATTAACTTTTCCTCCTGTGTGACTTTATGTAAATGACTGCCATGAGTGAATAGGCAGGCATGTGGCCTCGTTCACAAAGATCACAAAGTAGAAACAATATACTTTGCCATGTTTTCAGAAGAGAAGAGAATATTGATTAGCTAGTATGCAGTAATGATTTAAAGAATTTCAGAGTTTGCTTTTGTCTAAACTATGAATTTCAAAATGGGGCCCATGTTTGCAAAAATACAATATAAAATCATTTTTGAACAGTAAATTTGAAAAGGGGCAAATATTTTAATGTCTTTCTTTTCTATGATTTTATTCTCTTCCTTTTTAGGAAACTGACCAAGCCCTTTAAAATATTAATTCTAGCACTTCTGTATATTCTGTACATATTCATTTACTAATTCAATAGCCTTTTCCCTATCAGAATTGCTTCTTTAGGAAAGTGAAGCTACATGATTTAAAGTATTTTGATGAATGTATTTTTTAAAAATCTAGCTATTAACCCTAATGCCACACACACACACACACACACACACACACACACACCAAAGAGAGCAAGTTTGACATCTGAATCATTAAAAATTAATTTTGGTGTTTTTATGTCTGATATTTGGTGCTATTTAGGGACCTAACCATGGAAATTCAGGACAACTATCTGCTTGGGATAGAAACACCCAGTCAACAAATATGAGACAAATTTTAATCTTAAAGAATTTTCCATAATTATAAATTTTCAATTTCTGTGTTTAAAAATCTCAACCCGAAAGTATTCGTTGTAAGAATGGAATATGAGCCAACTTTTGATTTTATGAGGTTGGCCACCTTTATGTAGCCCCCTTCTTATTAGGGAGATTTCACTAGCTGTTGACAATGATGTACAGTGGAACTTCGCTGGGGTGACACCTGGGGAAAATGATTCCACTGCACCATGACACAAAACCAATTAGAGAACTGTTTTCTGAGACAGGTCATGAATTTACGTGGTTTCTCTTGAAAAGATGTATCTTTAAATTTTTTTATTAAGATGACATTTGTGTCCCTTGAGACATTTTAGGATGACAATCACTTGTTCTTTCTGCAAGAATATACACTTGCTGAAATCATGTTATGGGACAAGGGTGGAAGACTTTGTTCTTCATTTTCTAAATGAGCTTCTTTGGAATCTGATCATTAGAACCATATATGTTAGCAGGATTTCTTGGCACAAATTTATTCAAACTTCAGTAAAAACTGCAAGGAAAGCAGTAGTACTTATTCAATTGTGGGTGTCTATTATTGAGTTCAAATATGTAACCATGGTTAAATTATTTAGACATCATAAATTCAGAAAGCTTCTTAGAACTTAAGATTAACATATCAAATGTAAGCAAAAATCATTTTTGTAACGTGAATAAAGTTATTCAAGTCTACTACAAATTTCTGCCAAATCATCAGAGGTAATTTTGTATAATGTAACTAAAATGGAAAAGCTGAAAGTTTTCAGTAATTTTTATACCTACTTATTGGGAACATAATGTCAAACATTTTAAATAAAAGTGATTTTTAAAAAGAGAATATAGTTTGCAATATGAGGCCAAAAGCTCACTTAGAAAAGAGGAGCCTACTTTGTCCCTTATATATACTATAGTATTTCATCAGCTCTAAGGTACTAGGAATTTTTTCATGAAATATTGTGAATCAATCAGTGATGATATCTGAATTAAATGTTGATAATGTAGGAGCTAACAGAATAATGAAGACAAGTCATTTAGCAATAAATTCACAAATATATAAATAAATGCTCTGAGGATGGGAATAGTAGGAGCAAGGAGTAATTGGACCCTGAAGAAGAGGCACCAAATGTTTTGGTGGGGAGGAAAAGATTTGAGGAAGAAGTAATATGTGACTGTGGATTCAAAAGATAAGCTCTACCTGTCAGGCGAGAACAGCACTCTGGTAAAAAGAACAGCCAGAGAAACAAAGGCTGTGGTTTGTGGGGAGGAAATTTTAACAATGTGGCATATTAATAGTACATTAAGCACACGGCAAACAGTAGTAAAGAAGGTAGGCAGAGAGTGGATCTTGGGAGACTGGATCTTGGGGAACCTATGGTATTAATTTTACATTACAGTTCCTTTTTTCACAGATGCACAATTTTTTCCATTTTAATTTTTCTGAAATTAGACTATGTGTAGTTCTTAGAAGCAACTGGCAGATGCCAGGCAAAAAAAAAGTAAATCGTGATAAAACTAATACTGCTTGTTGATGGGGCAGCTCTCCCATGTCCATGAGTTCATCCAATTGAATTATTTTTAACTCAAATATTACATTAAAATGGTAACTCTGAATTTAAGTCACAGTATGTTCAAAAAGTTGCCTTTGACCCTAGGCAAAGTCATAGGTAGAAAATATTACTGCCTTTTATCTGACAACACAACATTGAGAGGCTGAGTTAATTTTCTGAACCTTGATTTTGGGCTGCACTGTGACTTGCTCTAACTAGAACAATATGGCAGAAGTGAGGTTTCACAACTCAGAGCTTAGGTCACAAGAAAACATGCAGCTTTTCCTCTTGCTTTCTTGAGATACTAACTTCCAGGTAAGGATAAAAAACCATGTGGACCTGGAAAGCACACCAGCAAGATGAAGCCATCTTGGAGCCTCTATTCCAAAATCAGAAGTCAGATGACTTCAGCTACAAGTGATTGCAGCAGGAATCACAAGAACACAAAAGAAAGATGAGTTATTTATTAAATTCAGGGGAGACTTGTCATGCAGCAATAAATAACTGATATAGTTAGACAACTGGCATCTCAAAAGAGGTTGAGTTAAGAATATTTCAGCTTCTTTTTCCAATCTTATGATATAATCATGCAGTTTGCTTTAGTAAATATTTTTAAGGATGTTTGAATCACAATAAACACTTCAAAATGAAGAAATACATTCCAGACCAGTGTTTGCTAGGGACTCAGAGGTGGGAAAAGAAGAATGAGTATATGGAGCACAGAGATTTTAGGGTAGTGAAATCACTGCATATGATATTGTAATGGTGGAGACATGATATTATGCATTAGTGAAAACCCAAAGAAAAATACAAAAAGTAATTACAATATAAAAATGGACTTTAAACAATGTATCAGTATTGGTTTATCAGTTATAATAAGTGTAACACACTGATGCAATGTTAATAATTAGCAAAACTGTGATGAGGGCAGAGAAGGTATATATGGAAACTCTCTAAGCTATCTGCTAAATTTTCTGTAAACCCAAAACTGCTCTAAAAATAAAGGCTTACTAAAAAATAGATTTTAGTTCCTTTTAAACTCTTTTAAAATCCAAGCCAAATTAAAAAAGATGACAAGTGACTGCAAAAGATGGGCTTTCTAGGTAACATCAGGAGGATTCTACCATTTGTTTTTTAATGTGATGATTACTGCACTCAAGAATATGAAATGGGGCCGGGGATTTAGCACAGTGGTTCGGTGGCCTGCCTTGCAAGCACAAGGACCCGAGTTCAATCAAAAAAAAAAAGAAAGAAAAAAAAAGCATGAAATGCTTTTTAATCACCTCTACAGATAAGACAGTTATAAGGTTTTGCCTACAGAAAAATACAGACATTAATGGATAAATGAGAAATTATAATGTGTAAATTACTCATTGAAGTGTGTCTTACCCCCAAGAAGAACAGTGAATATGTCACCATACTTCTTTTGCAGAGTTCTTATGAAACCTAAGGGATCCTTTTGGAACTTCATGGTCATTCCAAAAAAAGGAAGCCAGCCTTTTATCAATGGAGGTTCACCAGGTCTCCTATAAATTTAAAAAAAAAAAAAGATGAATGAAAAGGAGAAATTCTATTTGTCCACTTTAGAAGTAGGTTGCAAGAATGGCACAGCTTCTTTCAATTCTCTTCTTTAATGATAAGCCACAGGCATATATTGAAGATTTATGAGTTTCTCCTGTATGTATATATGGCTGTGGAGTAAGCAGTTAAATTCACAACTTTTGCAGAGAAACTTTCGAAAAATTTTGTTTCTCAAGTCTTGAATGGCTGCTTGACAGTTCAGTTGCAACATGCTTTATTTCTTTTTTTTTCATGTGCATTTTCTCATCACTATAAGTAGTCAACTGTAGACCAGAAAATCCATGGCTAATGAGATCTCTAGGAAACTATATCAACTGTTTGAATAATTTATTCTATGTAGTTGGTTAATCTGGTATAATGCTAATAAAAATCAAATGGTCAGATGCCTGCTTTTCTTGGTCTTTCACAATTCAGGTAATAAACGCTGCCTGATAAATTTAGTCAATAAGACCCAAATCTTGTTTTGATGATATTTGTGTTTGCCTACTATGAGCTTGGTGAGCTGTGAAGGACTAGGACTAATCTAAGATCTAGTTAAACTGCTTTTTGAAAATCATGTAAACAATATATTTCAATTATTGGTTATTTTATATTAGCTCAAACTAACCCACCTCATTTTAAATCCAAATTTATTCACAGGTATTTATATTTTTCTACAAGTATAGATTATGACTATTTGAAGAAATCTTCAACTATGTTGTTATATATCAAGGCTTTGGGGGGATGATGCATTATGGGTTCTGAAGTTTTTCAAGCCACTTAAGTGACCTTAATACACTAAATGAAAGTGTGCTCTTTTTATTGTTCAAGTTTTCACTGATGTTTAGCAAAGACCTTACAATTGGATGGCATCTTTGGAGTTGTAACGCAATATCTCATTTTGTAGGGAAGCGATCTCAGGGTTAAGAGGTCAACAAATGTGCTAAAGTCATGTAATTGCATGTAGACAAGCTCAGCACCAGGATGCAAATCCTGAAGCACTACAGCTTCACTCTGAAACCCCCTGGGAACATGAGTCAGTCAACCTATGAACTTGATAAAAAGTAAAAAAAAAAAACAAACAAA